GGTCTGTCTGCGGGGTGCCGCGGCCCTGCGGTCTGTCGGTGGGGTGCCGCGGGCCCGGGGTCTGTCTGCGGGGTGCCGCGGGCCCGGGGTCTGTCTGTGGTCACCCTGGGTAGGCGGCCCTCGAAGGGTGGTCCCAGGGCGAGAACAAAATAGTCATCAGAGAAAATACACTTATTAGTAATTTTAAATGTGAAGTGACCTTAAAATTAATTGATTAGTTGGTTCTCCAATTGTGGTCCGCCAGGTCTGGGACGTCCCCAAGATTCTTTCAAGGGGTCTCCGAGGTCAAAACTATTTCCATTACAGTAATAAGAAACGATCTGCCTTTTTCACTTTCATTTTCTCGTGAGTGTATAGTGGAACTTTCCAGAGGCCATTTGACGTGTAATGATGTCACCACTCTGCTAACTTGTAGAATGCCTACATGTCTATTCTTGCGTTTTCTAGTATTTTCTGTGGTAGTAAGTGTAGGTATCAATATGTACATTTTTATAGAGATTAATAAAATTTTGGGGGCTGGCCCAGTGGCACAAGTGGTTAAGTGCTTGCGCGCTGCTGCGGCTGCCCGGTTCCCCCATTCCGATCCCTGGCGGGCACCAACGCACGGCTTGTCAAGTCATGCTGTGCTGGCGTCCCATATAAAGTGGAGGAAGATGCGCACGGATGTTAGCCCAGGGCCAGTCTTCCTCAGCAAAAAGAGGAGGATTGGCAGATGTTAGCTCAGGGCCAATCTTCCTCAAAAAAAAAAAAATAATAATAATATTAAAATAAAATTTTTTCTCAGTACTTCTATACTTTTATTAGTTATCTTTGGTCATATCTACCAGGATATATATAACCTCATTATTTTCAAATAAATAGTTATCTTGAAATCTTGAACTTTTCTTTGCGTCTTTGTGGACAAACAAGAAAAATTATTACTTTGTTGTCTTGATTTGAAATAATATTTTGAAAATTTCTCAATTTTAAAATGTAATATGATGAATATCATTAGATATAATTCACAATAAGAAGTAAAAAACTATCTGAGGCCCTTGATAATATTATAGAATGTAAAGAGTGATCCAAGAGTGAGAATTGCTGCCTCAAGCAGTGAAGGCGGCAGGTGGACACAGCACCTGTCCTAGGTGATGTTCACATCCATCCTTGTCAAAATAACGTGCTTAATAATTCTTTGGAACATTATTTAAGGTTCCATGCTTTGGCCAAAGTGGCTTGGCAGTTGCTGGAAGCCAGAGGAAACGTTTTTTCCCCCTTTCTAATCTTTGATTAATTCCATTTCCGCCAAATTCTTTTTTTCTCCCCTTAAAGGCTATTGCCTGTTTTATTCTAGTTATTTAGAATCAACTGAATTCTGAAGAATTCAATTGCAGAAATTTTGTTTTCATTGATTCCTTCCAGACAGTGCTTTTTCTTTTCCCATCTCCCAATCTCTTCCTCTTCTATTTCCATTTGTTCACCTTGTTTTCTAACCTGTTTCTGTGATAGACCCTTCTCTTTCTCTTCAATCCTTCTATTGTTCTTAAGCAATTGGGATCAGACTGTGAAGGGACCAGAAATGATTTCTTGTGATTGACATTCTAGAACAGGAAACATCTTCATTAGAACACCCATTCTTCTACTTGTTCATTAATTTAGTCAAACAACATCACTAAACCCTGAGGATAGAGAGATAAACACCACAGTCTCTATTTTGGAGGAGAATTTAATCTAAGATCTAGATCTAAGAACGTGGCCCTATAAAGTTCTTATCGAGGGCAAGAACTGACTTATTCATCTTTACATCCTCCACAGTACCCAGCAGAGCACCTTTTGTGTTGTTCATGTTCAATACATTTTTTTGGGTGGAAGCAATTTATTTTCAGGTAGGAAAGGTGCTTCACACTATATTGGGAGAGGCAAGTGGTCAGCTGCCTCATGCTGTGGAATAAGCAGATATGAACTTTGATGACATCCACTCACATATCTGGATATTTAGACCAAAACAAATGAGGCTTTGTGCTCACATCAAATATCCGAATTTATAGTCTGAGAGGGGAGTCGATACAGAAATGGTGTTTTTCAAAGGTGAATTACATTGCCGCATGTTTCGCTGTAATATTGGATCCTGTAGAATGTTATAGTATTTGGCAGTATGCGCACAAACTTAAAGCTCTGTGGAGCTGCAAGATATATTGAGATTAGATAGTAAAGAGAGAAAAGAGAATGACCAGTAACAGCACTGTCCAAGATTGCTGATTTCTCCTGTTATTTACTTGCTACATTCATTTTCTTATTTTGCAGAGTTTGCTTTTTAAAGTCACACTATTCTTATGCCTTTCTTCCAAAGCATTTTAAGTGCTTTTATTCTAGCCATCTGTGGAGTTGGGCCACATATTATGATTCTCATTTTACAAAGAGGGATACTGAAGCATGAAGAAGTAAAGGGTCTTAAATAGTCGTTGGCCAAGTAGTAGCCCAGCTCTTGACTCTTTCCACTGGTTTTCTGAGTTATTACCAAGCAACAGAGGGCAGTAGGTAAAGAATTATTTAATTTCAAAAGAAATAAGAAAAAAAAATCAAAGCAATGAGATTAATGGACTTGGATTAATGTGATAATGCATCTCTGAGTTGAGCACACACCCACCCACTTACCTGTGTGAACTCAAGAATGAAATGGAAACTCGCTCTGCTGTATGGGCGCAAGGATTGACTCAAGCACTGTGACAGAAAATGTTAAGGTTGCAACCATGAAGCTCTGCAATGTAAGGTCATATCCACATCCTTGAAGACACACTGATGACTGTGTCATTAGACTACTCGGAACAGGAGATGCAACTTTCCTGAACTTGTTTCTGTGACAGTTTAGCCTTGACATTTCAACATCAATTGTTTGCTGTTTTAATTTATCCCAGTAAAATCCTTAGGTGGAAAATGAAACACTCCTACTGTTCAAGGTTGATTATACATCTGTATGTAGCTATTTTCAGATTCAACAAATAGGCAAAGGGGATACCAAGATTTTATTGTAAACATTTGCTTAAAGCCCTCTAAAGGAACTTTTGACTAGAGCTCATATTTAATTCTATCATTTAAGAACAATGATTGTTGGGGGCCGGCCCGTGGCGTAGCGGTTAAGTGCGCGAGCCTCGATGCTGGTGGCCCGGGTTCGGATCCCGGGCGCAAACCGATGCACTGCTTGTCCAGCCATACTGTGGCCATGTCCCACATAAAGTGGAGGAAGATGGGCACAGATGTTAGCTCAGGGCCAGTCTTCCTCAGCAAAAAAAAAAGACGATTGGCATGGATGTTAGCTCAGGGCTGATCATCCTGATAAAAAAAAAAAAACACAAAA